TTTTTGGCCTAGCGGCGAAAATCGCGCGATTTTTGGCCGCTAGCGGCGAAAATCGCACGGTTTTTGGCCGCTAGCGGCGAAAATCGCGATTTTTGGCCGCTAGCGGCGAAAATCGCGCGATTTTTGGCCGCTAGCGGCGAAAATCGCGCGGTTTTTGGCCGCTAGCGGCGAAAATCGCGTTATTTTTGGCCGCTAGCGGCGAAAATCGCCCGATTTTTGGCCGCTAGCGGCGAAAATCGCGCGATTTTTGGCCGCTAGCGGCGAAAATCGCGCGATTTTTGGCCGTAGCGGCGAAAATGGCCGCTAGCGGCGATCGCACGATTTTTGGCCGCTAGCGGCGAAAATCGCACGATTTTTGGCCGCTAGCGGCGAAAATCGCGCGATTTTTGGCCGCTAGCGGCGAAAATCGCGGTAGCGGCGAAAATCGCGCGATTTTTGCCCGCCAGCTGCAAAAATCGCATGGTTTTTGGCCGCTAGCGGCGAAAATCGCGGCGATTTTTGGCAGGTAGCGGCGAAATTCGCGCGATTTTTGCCCGCCAGCTGCAAAAATCGCAAAGTTTCTGGCCGCTAGCGGCGAAAATCGCACGATTTTTGGCCGCTAGCGGCGAAAATCGCCCCATTTTTGGCCGCTAGCGGCGAAAATAGCCCCGTTTTTGGCCGCTAGCTGCGAAAATCGCATGGTTTTTGGCAGGTAGCGGCGAAATTCACGCGATTTTTGCCCGCCAAAAAATCGCATAGTTTTTGGCCGCTAGCGGCGAAAATCGCGCGATTTTTGGCCGCTAGCGGCGAAAATTCGCGCGATTTTTGGCCGCTAGCGGCGAAAATCGCGCGAGTTTTTGGCCGCTAGCGGCGAAAATCGCCCGATTTTTGGCCGCTAGCGGCGAAAATAGCCCTTTTTTGGCCGCTAGCGGCGAAAATCGGCGATTTTTGGCAGGTAGCGGCGAAATTCGCGCGATTTTTGCCCGCCAGCTGCAAAAATCGCATGGTTTCTGGCCGCTAGCGTCGAAAATCGCGCGGTTTTCGGCCGTTAGCCGCAAAAACCGCCCGATTTTTGGCCGCTAGCGGCGAAAATCGCACGTTTTTTTGGCCGCTAGCGGCGAAAATCGCGCTATTTTTGGCCGGTAGCGGCGAAAAATCGCGCAATTTTTGGCCGCTAGCGGCGAAAATCGCGCAATTTTTGGCCGCCAGCTGCGAAAATCGCATGTTTTTGGCCGCTAGCGGCGAAAATCGCGCGGTTTTTGGCCGGTAGCGGCGAAAATCGCGCCATTTTTGGCCGCTAGCGGCGAAAATAGCCCCTTTTTTGGCCGCTAGCGGCGAAAATCGGTCGATTTTTGGCAGGTAGCGGCGAAATTCGCGCGATTTTTGCCCGCCAGCTGCAAAAATCGCATGGTTTCTGGCCGCTAGCGTCGAAAATAGCGCGGTTTTTGGCCGTTAGCGGCGAAAATCGCCCGATTTTTGGCCGCTAGCGGCGAAAATCGCACGGTTTTTGGCCGCTAGCGGCGAAAATCGCGCTATTTTTGGCCGGTAGCGGCGAAAATCGCGATTTTTGCCCGCCAGCTGCGAAAATCGCATGTTTTTGGCCGCTAGCGGCGAAAATCGCGCTATTTTTGGCCGGTAGCGGCGAAAATCGCGCGATTTTTGCACGCCAGCTGCGAAAATCGCATGGTTTTTGGCCGCTAGCGGCGAAAATCGCGCGATTTTTGGCCGCTAGCGGCGAAAATCGCCCGTTTTTTGGCCGTTTTTGGCCGGTAGCGGCGAAAATTGCCCGCCAGCTGCAAAAATCGATTTTTGGCAGGTAGCGGCGAAAATCGCGCGATTTTTGCCCGCCAGCTGCAAAAATCGCATGGTTTCTGGCCGCTAGCGTCGAAAATAGCGCGGTTTTCGGCCGTTAGCCGCAAAAACCGCCCGATTTTTGGCCGCTAGCGGCGAAAACCGCACGGTTTTTGGCCGCAAGCGGCGAAAATCGCGCTATTTTTGGCCAGTAGCGGCGAAAATCGCGATTTTTGCACGCCAGCTGCGAAAATCGCATGTTTTTGGCCGCTAGAGGCGAAAATCGCGGTATTTTTGGCCGGTAGCGGCGAAAATCGCGATTTTTGCCCGCCAGCTGCGAAAATCGCATGTTTTTGGCCGCTAGCTGCGAAAATCGCACGATTTTTGGCCGCTAGCGGCGAAAATCGGTCGATTTTTGGCAGGTAGCGGCGAAATTCGCGCGATTTTTGCCGCCAGCTGCAAAAATCGCTGGCGCTAAAATCGCATTTTTGGCCGCTAGCGGCGAAAATCGCGCGATTTTTGGCCGCTAGCGGCGAAAATCGCGCTATTTTTGGCCGCTAGCGGCGAAAATCGCGATTTTTGGCCGCTAGCCAGCGAAAATCGCATGTTTTTGGCCGCTAGCGGCGAAAATCGCACGATTTTTGGCCGCTAGCGGCGAAAATCGGTCGATTTTTGGCAGGTAGCGGCGAAATTCGCGCGATTTTTGCCCGCCAGCTGCAAAAATCGCATGGTTTCTGGCCGCTAGCGTCGAAAACTGCACGGTTTTTGGCCGCAAGCGGCGAAAATCGCGCTATTTTTGGCCGGTAGCGGCGAAAATCGCGATTTTTGCACGCCAGCTGCGAAAATCGCATGGTTTTTGGCCGCTAGAGGCGAAAATCGCGCTATTTTTGGCCGGTAGCGGCGAAAATCGCGATTTTTGCCCGCCAGCTGCGAAAATCGCATGTTTTTGGCCGCTAGCGGCGAAAATCGCACGATTTTTGGCCGCTAGCGGCGAAAATCGCCCCGATTTTTGGCCGCTAGCGGCGAAAATCGCCCGATTTTTGGCCGCTAGCGGCGAAAATAGCCCGCTTTTTTGGCCGCTAGCGGCGAAAATCGCCCGATTTTTGGCCGCTAGCGGCGAAAATCGCATCGATTTTTGGCCGCTAGCGGCGAAATTCGCGCGATTTTTGGCCGGTAGCGGCGAAAATCGCATAGTTTTTGCCCGCTAGCGGCGAAAATCGCGCGATTTTTGGCCGCTAGCGGCGAAAATCGCACGATTTTTGGCCGCTAGCGGCGAAATTTGCACGATTTTTGGCCGCTAGCGGCGAAAATCGCCCCATTTTTGGCCGCTAGCGGCGAAAATAGCCCGTTTTTTGGCCGCTAGCGGCGAAAATCGGTCGATTTTTGGCAGGTAGCGGCGAAATTCGCATGGTTTCTGGCCGCTAGCGTCGAAAATAGCGCGGTTTTTGGTCGTTAGTGGCAAAAATCGCCCGATTTTTGGCCGCTAGCGGCGAAAACCGCACGGTTTTTCGCCGCAAGAGGCGAAAATCGCGCTATTTTTGGCCGGTAGCGGCGAAAATCGCGATTTTTGCACGCCAGCTGCGAAAATCGCATGGTTTTTGGCCGCTAGAGGCGAAAATCGCGCTATTTTTGGCCGGTAGCGGCGAAAATCGCGATTTTTGCCCGCCAGCTGCGAAAATCGCATGTTTTTGGCGGCTAGCGTCGAAAATCGCGCGGTTTTTGGCCGGTAGCGGCAAAAATCGCGCTATTTTTGCCCGCCAGCTTCAAAAATCGCATAGTTTCTGGCCGCTAGCGGCGAAAATCGCGCGATTTTTGGCCGCTGGTTGAGAGAGGTACAGCCTTTGACATGATTCGGGAGGTCATTCCACATTCTGGGTCCCTTGATTTGTAGAGCACTTCTAGTTTGGTTACACACAGCCAAATTGAGTAACAGGAAGAGGTCTTGGACACAAATTTGTTCCATGCTAAATGTAGAGGAATCAGCTGAGTATTCCTCAAATAAAATAAGTTGCCTCAGCTTATAAGGTAAATAAAATAAGCATTTCTCAAATAAGTAGCTGCCTCACCTCACTGCCTTACTGTTTCATAGCCTTCCCGGCATGGTGCCTTCTTTTGATAATTACTTGTTCCACACCCAAATTGTATAACAGGAAGAGGTCTTGGACCCCTACGCATATTTTTATTTTATGTCTCACCCAGATTTAATTTCAAAATAAAACCAAACTAAATAAATTAGAAATGGGTATGTATAGCTAAGGTACACCCTTACTACTAGGTGAACAGGGGCATTTGGTGATAGTAAATGATCCCATCAGGCAGGGCTCATCACCTTCTCTCATATTTCATGTTCACCAGTGTTTATTTACTTAATAACTACTGGTATAATATCTTGCTATTATAAAACTAATTCTACTATCATCAAACACATATTTACTTCAAGTTTCAAGCAGAGAATGCATATATAACTAACACGAAGGATTACTCTTCACTAGATTCACCAGCTATAATATTTTGGTCATGTTCCAATATCATAAATCGATCCCAGTGTTATGTAGTAGAGAAAAAATGACTTATATCCAGTTTACGTAAAGCTACGAGTGGTCGAAACCACACTTAAATCCCGGAATGAACTTACGAAGATTTTTCCACTTAGGGTAGTTAATTGAATACGGACGTAGCCGCCACGAAGGCGCTAAGACGGAAAACGCTCTTAGCTAAGAGGAAAAACCTTCGTAAGTACCTTCCTGAATCCGGCCCCAGGTCTCCTCCACTACCACCTGTTTCCTTCCCGTCTCCTCACCAACCGTCTGTTTACGTCCTGTATCATCACCGCCCGTTATCTTGTTTACTGTCGTCGTGTGCTAGTCACACTCAGCGAGTTGAGTGCATGTTCCCTAAATCCTCAAGTAATACTTACTGTTGGTAAGTCTGAGTTATCACAATTTCAGATTTAATTTTATGATAATCTTAATTATTTTGTTCTAATTTGCTGACCAGTAATTATTTTCATAACTGAAGTTACTTCTCACATGTATGATTGTTATGAGTTAGTCGATGGTTTGTATGTTATGTGTTAAATACAATTTTGTAATCTTGCCCACAATTTACAGTTTTGATTGTACCAGGCTGTATGTGTAGGTGTATATTCATTGATCAACTTTCACTAATTGTCAGTTATCAATAAAATCCAGAAAGAAATAAGAGTCAATTTGGAGTATAAAACAACATAATTTCTTCGTGGTAAATTATCAAAAATTTATTCGATGACGTATTATTTACAGATAATATAGTACAAACTGTGAAATTCAAAACATTTTACAAAGTGCAAGCAAAAAGGCTGAATGTAGAATCAATGTAATGCCATTTGTATATTAACTGGTTAGTAGCAGCATTATACCATATTGGGTTATCAACGGCAGGCATGTGTTTGCGGAGACCATACATTGATAGGATAACAGAGTATATTAGCGCACGTGTTGTCACGCCTGCCAGCACACCCACACTGCTGACGCTGGCCGGCTGGTTGCCCACTACCTACACCAGCGCACCTCGTGTTGCAAGTCATACATGGGATATACACACATCATTATGTATATATATATATATATATATATATATATATATATATATATATATATATATATATATATATATATATATATATATATATATATATATATGCCACAATAAATAAAAGTAAATATAATCTAAGATATTGGTGTTTAAATCTGTTTAGAACAAAACAGTCAATGTTAGCGTCAACTTATGTATATATAAACACTGAAATTTATATTCTTAGTTTTTTATACCGAAACTGAATGTAAGGATCTGATGACAGATTATAACAAGTAAGGCAAGAAAATACATTAGAATTTATTACATTTTCCATCAAATAATTTTGAAAAGTGGTGTGCTGTTGTACTATCAGAAATACAGCGGCAATACAGCAGTAATACAACATACAATGCTATGACTCGATACACGGGAATCTACTGGTGTATGCGACGCCCGGCGCCCTCTACCTGTCTCAGGACACTGATGTATAGCCACGGGCAGTCACGTGGTGCCTCGAGGCGTCACGTGATGTCACGGGGCCTCACGTGGTGCCATGGGGCGTCACGTGGCGCCATGTTGCATCACGTGGTGCCACGGGGCCTCACATGATGCCATGGGACGTCACGTGGTGCCATGGGGCCTCACGTGGTGCCATGGGGCGTCACGTGGTGCCTCGGGGCGTCACGTGATGCCACGGGGCCTCACGTGGTGCCATGGGGCGTTACATGGTGCCATGGGACGTCACATGAGGGGACAACAGGTCCAGCGACCACCTCAATCAGATGGGTAGGGGTGAGTGTGGAGGCAGCTCACCGCAGCATATTGGATGTGTTAATAACACTGCAACAGCTGACCACGTGTGTTTTGTACCAACCGAAATAGTGAATGAGAAGTGCTGCTGACAACAGAGCGCGCCGTACGCACTCTCTTCTACGCACCACCAAAAACTGCGTTACTCTGCCACCACAAAACGGCCCCACAGTATACCAATATCCATCATACCACACTGTATACAGTATATCTAATACATTACATGTGCAACTACATAGCAGTATACATCATGAGCATGTGAGTATATTGCTATACTGGCGGGCAGTAAGTATACCACACATAAACATACTTGTGATAGCACATTAACACATCTTTGTAACTACATTTCAGCATACTTAGCCGGTAAGCAACCGAACATCAGTATACTGTATATGCATGTATCCGCTCATCAGTATACTGCATATGCATGTATCCACACATCAATATACCGTATATGCATGTATCCATACATCAATATACTGTATATGCATGCATCCGCACATCAATATACTGTATATACATGTATACACATCAATATACTGTATATGCATGTATCCATACATCAATATACTGTATATGCATGTATTCGCACTTCAATATACTTTATATGCATGCATCCATACATCAATATACTGTATATGCATGTAACCGCACATCAACATACTGTATATGCATGTATCCACACATCAATATACTGTATATGCATGTATCCACACATCAATATACTGTGTATGCATGTATCTGCGTGTAACTGAGGCAACATTATGCATATATGCCACTGTAGTGGCATATATGCATAGTATTGATCCACACATCCATATACTATGTATGCATGTATCCACGCATCAGTATAACTTATGCGGGTAATAACATACAAGTGTATAATGGTATGTAACTAGACATTAGTATACAACATACATAGACGTGATATAAGAGTAGACGCATATGTCATACACAGTATACGTAGGTTACTAAAGGCTAATGTACAGGTACGCGAGTATAGGTGCGAATGTGCTTACTTTCACTTTAGTCAGTGTGGTGAGGTACACTCCAGGGGACACTTTTGTGTAGGATGACACGCACTACGGTACTTAACATGTACGTAAATACACTCCAGTACACAAGGCATGTAAGTTAATGCACACCAGAACACCTGTAATGTAAGTAAATACACACCAGTACACTTAGCATGTAAGTAAATACACTCCAGTACACCTGGCAGGTAAGTAAATACACTCCGGTACACCTGGCATATAAGTAAATACACTCCAGTACACCTGGCGTATAAGTAAATACACACCAGTATATCTCGTGTATAAGTAAATACACTCCAGTACACCTGACATGTAAGTAAATACACGCCAGTACACCTAGCATGTAAGCAAATACACGTCAGTACACCTGGCATGTAAGTATACACACTCCAGTACACCTGGTATCTAAGTATATACAAACCAGTACCTCCTGACACGTAAGTAAGCACACACCAGTACACCTGACATGTAAGTAAATACACACCCAGTACACCTGACATGTAAGTAAATACACACCCAGTACACCTGGCATGTAACTAAATACACACCAGTACACCTGGCATCTAGGTAAATACACACCAGTACACCTGGCATATAAGTAAATACACATCAGTTCACTTGGCATGAAAGTATATACACACCAGTAAACCTGGTACGTAAGTAAATATGTACCAATACACCTGACTTAAGTAAATACACGCCAGTACACCTGGCGTATAAGTAAATACACACCAGTACACCTGTCATGTAAGTAAATACACCCCAGTACACCTTGCATCTAAGTAAATACACTCCAGTATACCTGGCATGTAAGTAAATACACGCTAATACACCTGGCATGTAAGTAAATACACGCCAGCACACCTGGCATGTAAGTAAATACACGCCAGCACACCAGGTATATAAGTAAATATATACCAGCACACGTGGCATGTAAGTAAATACACCTGGTATATAAGTAAATACACACAGTACACCTGACATGTAAGTAAATACACACCAGTAAACCCGGTATATAATTATATACACACCAGTAAACCCGGTATATAATTAATACACACCAGTACACCTGGCAATAAGTAAATACACACCAGTAAACCCGGTATATAATTAATACACACCAGTATACCTGGCAATAAGTAAATACACACCAGTAAACCCGGTATATAATTAAATACACACCAGTAAACCTGGAATATAAGTATATACACACCAGTACACCTGGCATGTAAGTACCCAGACCATAGCAGAAAGTTAAGCCTTCACAGAAAACGAGCGTTGGTACCATGGCTGAGAGGAACGTTTAAGAACATCACGATATAACTTTTGCATTCTTTCTAAGCAAACTACTATAACTTTTTAAAAGTTTTTGGGTGAGGAAAACCTTCAGAGCTTAAATTTTCAGAATACTGCGTTGGGTGAGTTTTGTGCAAGGAACTAGTACAAGCAGCTAGCGATCTCCGCCTTCTTGAGTTAGTCGGTGTCTGTCTGTCACTAACAAAGCGTCCTTAGAGTGGCAGCCTTTTTTTTATGTATGTATTATGTATGTATGTATGTATGTATGTATGTATGTATGTATGTATGTATGTATGTATGTATGTATGTATGTATGTATGTATGTATGTATGTATGTATGTATGTATATATATATATATATATATATATATATATATATATATATATATATATATATATATATATATATATATATATATATATATATATATACATATATATCTATATAATTTTAACAATTTCTTGTGGATTTAAATTTGCATTGGCTCACTCGTGCCTTAGACTAGCGTTGGTGAAGGGGGGAGCTACGGGAGGACTCTCCCATGTTCAGCTTCACGCGGACACTTCAATTTACATAATTCGCCAACTAAGACGGTCACCGTACAAACAAATGATCAAAAGCAACCGTGAACCGGCGAGTATACGCTCTCTCTCTCTCTTTCTCTCTCCCCTCGCCTGCCCGGAGGGTGGGGTGGGTTGGGATGATTGGTTATGGCGTGGGGATGTTCATCTTGGATGGGGTGGTAGGGGGTGAGGCTACGGGTTCCACACTCTCCATGTCCACGGCACCATATCTTTCACTCTGCTGTTAGACACTAATCTTCCTCTCTATATAGATGGGTCCACTCATGACTTTTCCTGAAATCAGATACTAACAAGAAGCTAATACTTTACTTACGAATATGTGGTTATTTTCCAACTGGCTAATACATGCCTTGCCTCATCTTTTGCTGGCTAATTCTACAACTTTGAATTGCTCTACCCGTGACTTATTTTTTTAGGCATTGATAACTAAGACTACATGATCAAGACACCTATGAGGACCGCTTCTACAGTGTGTGTGTGTGGCGAGGCTTGTGTACCAGGACTAACCGCCATAATACTCAGTGTTTCGCTATAAACCACACTGGATCCCTCCTTCTCGTGCTGGTACACCTGCTCCTAAACCCAATTATTTATAATGTTCCATATTTTATTTATCATATTGACTCAATTTTGAGAATCTGATTATATTTATTATAGATATTTGTATTAAACAACATATTACTTTAGCAAATACATATTACCTTGAAAATTATAAGCTAAATGTTCTTCAATATATGCCAATGTCAGTTTGATTTAGTCTACTTTACACTTGTTTAGTCCAGCCAATATTATAATGATTTGCACACGTTCTTACAGATAGTGTCTAATTCTAATTACTATCATTATAACGACTGATAATTTAACAATCCCAACCTGTTATATATATTCTTTTCATTTTTGCTTTCAATCGCGGCTGTCTTTCAGAACTTATTTCGTCACAACTTTTCCTGCCGAGAAGGTATCCGTTCCATTGATACCATTGTCACGTATACCCCAAGAGATCTCTGTTCATGGACATTATTGTCACGTGTACCCCTAGAGATCCCTATTCCATGGATACCATTGTCACGTGTACCCCTAGAGATCCCTATTCCATGCCTTCTAATACCATTATCCACGTGTACCCCTAGAGATCTTATTGCTACTTCTGCACCTACACTCCCCAGAGTGTAGGTGCACCTACACTCCCACCTGCACTCACCAGGAGTCACGGAGACACTCACATCTACACTCACCAGGGGACACTCCAACCTACACTCACCAGGAGACACTCCCACCTACACTCACCAGGGGACACTCCCACCTACACTCACCAGGAGACACTCCAACCTACACTCACCAGGGGACACTCCCACCTACACTCACCAGGAGACACTCCAACCTACACTCACCAGGAGACACTCCCACCTACACTCACCAGGAGACACTCCAACCTACACTCACCAGGAGACACTCCAACCTACACTCTCCAGGAGACACCTTCATTCATTTCTACGTGCAGCTTCAATCATACCGTGCACAGACTACTCTCCCGCGCATATGACTCATCAATCTACTCCCATGTACATGATTCATCAATCTACTCTCCCCGCACATGACTCATCAATCTGCTTTCCCACGCACATGACTTATCAATCTACTCCCACGCACGTGACTCATCAATCTACTCTCCCACGCACATGACTCATCAATCTACTCCCACGCACATGACTCATCAATCTACTCTCACGCACATGACTCATCAATATTCTCTCCCACGCACATGACTCATCAATCTACTCCCATGTACATGACTCATCAATTTAATCCACACACGTGATTCATCAACCTACTCTCCAACGCACATGACCCGTCAATCTACTCCCATTCACATGACTCATCAATCTACTCTCCCACACACATGCCTGATCCATCTACTCGCCAACACGCATGTCTCACCAATCTACTCTCCCATGCACGTCACTCATCAATTTACTCCCACGTACGTGACTTATTAATCTACTCTCCCACGCACGTGACTCATCAATCTACTCTCCCAGGCATATGACTCATCAATATACTCTCCCATACACATGACCCATTAATCTACTCCCACGCACGTGACTCATCAATCTACTTTTCCACGCACGTGACTCATCAATCTACTCTCCCATGCACATGACTCATCAATCTACTCCCACGCACGTGACTCATCAATCTACTTTTCCATGCACGTGACTCATCAATCTACTCTCCCATGCACATGACTCATCAATCTACTCACACGCACGTGACTCATCAATCTACTCTCCCACGCACGTGACTCATCAATCTACTTTTCCACCCACGTGACTCATCAATCTACTCTCCCATGCACATGACTCATCAATCTACTCTCCCACGCACGTGACTCGTCAATCTACTCTCCCACGCACGTGACTCATCAATCTTCTCTCCCACACACACACAAATTACTTCACCCTGCTAACTTACACACTTGATTTATAATACATTACTCTCCTACATACGTTACCCACAAGCTCTCACTCTCCCACATATTTGACCCACACAGCAAATTAGTTTTCCACGTACCTCTAGGAGCGAAACACTAGGGAAGCCGGGATACCTATCCCTGTGGCAGCTATCAACTGATGATGATTGTGGTGGCTTGAGGGAGGGGGGAGGAGGAGGAGGAGGAGGAGTTGGGGCTCTGTTGTTTGATTAGAGGGGAAGGGGGTTGTTACGTCAATCATCTCCGCAAACCACAAGATTAAGCTGCAACATATCGCCTGGTCGTTGTCTGTTGGTAGTTACGGAAAGTAAGGGAGACGAGGAGTGAAGATTTCTCGAGAATTCTACTTTCGAGGGTATAAGGACTGAAAACATGGAAGGACTATAGGGCAACACGCGCTGAGGTCTGATTGAGGTGAAGATCAGGGATGAGGGAGGAACCCCAAGGACACCCGGGGAAGAATGATGTGGTTGAGGTCTGAGCCCTCGTCTCTGGTGCCCGTTCCCTTGCTTTCCGTGGGTATTCAAACTTACAAAAAGGAATAGCATTAAACCAACACATCTCATCGCAGCCATCAGAATACAAAACAAATTTGCTTATCAAGAATATAACAATTTGAATATTACAGAATTGGTATCACATGAGGATGATCCAAACCAAGAGAAGGACAAACTGAGTGTTGCTGAGTGTTGCAGCGGAGGCCGCCTAGCAAGGTCGTGTGGAGCAGTGCAGTACGGGCCTTGCCTCCAGTGCACCATTCACCTTAAAAACTAAGACGTGTACAAATCTGAAGGAGTTTCACAGCACTGTCTCTTAAAAGTTAGTGTCTGCAGTTACAAGCCTTTGTTGTATGGAGGAGAGGGCAGGGTGCCGGTGGGAGCGGAGCGGTGTAGCAGTGGACACAAGTGAGATGTGCAGCCCGGGCGGTGGGCCTCCTCTGACCTACCATCACCTAGCTACGAACAAGGGGCGGCGCGTCGCCCTGGAGGGAAATAGAGTCGCTCACTGATTGGCTGCCCCGGTGGCACCGTGCCCCCTCGTGCCAGCACAGTCAAGCCTGGAGTATTACTATGGGAGGAGAGAATTCCATCTTATTTTCCGATCACTCAGATAAAAGTTCCATAGCAAAATTTTCAACAATATTCCTATGCTACATGGTTATGAAGTGTTAACAGAGTTTTGGACCAATGAAATAAACTCTGCAAGATATCTAGATACAGAATAATAAAGATTTCCAACACAAGAGAGGTAGGCATTGAGCGACAGGGAGCCTGACACCCACCACATGGTCGACCAGCGGCTGGTGCTCAGCTGCTGCTTTGTGCTCTTGTGAAGGAGGCGGTGGCCGTCGGCAGCGGCGGTGGGCGGGGCCGGGTGGGCGGGCGGGGGCGGGGCCACGTGACGTCACCAGTGGGGGGAAGAGGACGCATGGGACCCAGGCCCGCCCGCACTCCTGGGCGCTAGTTCCCCCGCCGCACGAACGTCACCCCACCGTTCACTGTATCCTCACCTCCTGTTCAGGTCAGCATTTTCTCATGCAAATGGCATTTCTTATAGTTTAGTTTCATTTTATGGCCATACATATAAAATATTTTTTTATTATTCATTATGCACAGAATAATCGTATAATATTGACTTATCTCATGTACTCGTAAGTAATTATTTCATAAATAATGGCGTGTTGACATAGAATATTGTGCAAGAAACGATCCATACCGATTACACTAGATAGTTAAGGCCATCAAGACTCAGACAACCCAGTCTCAAGGGGCAAGCAACGCGGCAACGATATTATTGGGACCTGGAGCATGGCGGGGCTCCGGTCAGCGGGACCAATGTTGAGCTGAGCTGTGTCCTGCACCCCGTGTACTGGGGCGCTGGGTGTTGGGGCAAGGAAGGTAAGCCGGGACAAGGAGTGGCTAAAATTAGCCAGGAAAGAGGATGGGGTAGGGGGGGCTGGGCCAAAGCCGAAGGTAAAGGGAGCATGGGAGAGAGTGAAAGGGAAGGAAAGGTACATAAAGGCTAAGTTCAGTGAAGGATATGGTTGACTGGTGTAGACAATAGTGAGGTGTGGATAATATTTCTGGGTCTTGGTGAACATTGGGAGTCTGGGCGCTGGAAGGCGGACAAGGGTGTGGATGCCACATGGGAGAGAGAACAACTCGAAGGAGTCCAAAGTTTGGCTGGTCAATATAAGGCGTGTAAATTTCCGAGAAATGAATCAAGATATATCAAAATTTTCGCACAGAAAGATGCATTGATCCATCGGAGATGGTGCCGAAGGAAGCCACAAGTTAACCGTATGCCAGTTTTGGATTCGAAACACAACAGCTATGATCTGCTGATATAAACTATATTTACTGATGTGTTTGGGAGGGGTAAGGATGAGGATGGTGTGTGAGGGAGAGCATCTTTGGGGGTCCTCTCTGTTGGGGAAGAGAGAGACGGACGCCCCTAGCACCCACTTCCTCACCACACTCCTCTCTCTCTTGGAATCGAAAATCTAAAATAAAGTTTAAAAGAATTATGAAAATATAACTCTTATTTTTGTAAGAATTAAATGCTAGGTTTGGGCGAAAATCTGATCCCGTAGAAATGAGTAATTATCCTGCATAGCTCTTAGATGAAATTGATCATTATGGAAAGGCATAGCTAAATGAAGGATGGTAATTGGTAAGGCCACATCCCAAGAGACACAGGGTTGTGGAGGAGAGACGTCCCACTGCTGTGGGGAAGGACGGGCCAACGTGTCTCAGGAATCAATAGGTAATGAGCAATTAGATTAAACACTAGACGTAGCGTCAGGAGTGAGGTGATGACAAAGAGGTGGCGACGAGGACTGACAATGTAGATCAGAGGCAGGAAGAGCAGAAAAAGAGGTGGAAATGTTGAATAGACGGGGAAGTTAACTTCGACGGGTGGATGGCACCGAGGGAAAGAGTGGACGCCACAGAAGAGCGCACCCCGGATGGGGGCACCGAGATCTTTGTGATGCCCTGGGGGGAACTATGGCAAGAAACAAAAGTATGGGCAGCTAACGTTTATTGTGGAACTGACATCCACTGTAAAGCACACTGAACCAGCCTATGTATGCCTAGGGTGGACAGAGCAGCAGGTGACAGGGGTAGTAGCTCCACACTTAAGTTAGAGGCACACACTTGACTCCGGCTTGACTTCTCCCTAGCTCGTAGTAGTTGCACGTATCAGTGAGAGTATTAAAGCTTTAAAAACAATGTAACGGCAGAATACATTCTATAGGTAAGAGTTAGTGGAGAATTGTGTGGCAATAACAGGGCGATACGCGCGCCCCCGGCCCAGCCTGAGGCAAGTGACAAGCTCTGGGAACTAAGGAAAAGTCTTACCACTGGGAAGAGAGTATAAAATGAAAGAATAGGAAAGACATTACGCAAGGAGACAAAGGGAAATAAGAGGATATGGTTAGTTATAAGATGTTATGAACTCAAACTGGGAGGTGACGAGTTGGACAAGAGCAGGGAATGGAAGGACTTGCAGCCGGTAAGGGGATAGGGAAGGAAGGGTAAGGGAGGAGCAGCAGGGATGAAGGTAGGGAGACAGATGCATTAGTGTAGCGTTGGGAAGGGTTGCCTGCGGTGACAATATGGAGCAGCGCAGGGGCCGGGTGGCGCGCTGTCCGCAAACACGACAGCTAACAATACAAGTTCTACCTTATTGTGCACCTCGCTACTTGCATTATGCACGGCTTGCACTCGGGTAAAGGCATTTGTGTATCACACACAGTTTATGTGAGGGGTAATAATTATGCAGTTAGAAGTTTCCTTTAATACTTGTTGAGAACTCGTATTGTTGGTGGGATATGCGCATAACAAGGGTTCCTCTCCATATCACCTGCGACACTGCGCTCCGCCCACCTGGGCTGCCATGGTCGCTGCCTGTGCCTGGCCTTCTTCTGCTGCGATCGGTGCCACAGTGGTACTGCTGTGGCAGCCATTGTCTTTATGTTGCTTGTCTGGCAGGCTTGCCCTGACCGTCCTCGGGGAAGGGAAGAGGTGTTGTCGGTGCTTCATACACCGGGTGTCAACAATACTGTGAGCGTGGGCGTGTGTGGGCGGCCATGGGCGGGTTGGCGGCCATGGCCGGGTGGGGGCGGCAGTGTCATCAGGCTCCACGTCACCTCCACGCCAACTAACAAGTGAACGTCATGAGGACGAGGCGCACCCAGCCTCACTTGAGCCGAGCGTCAGTACCAAGACGGGTAAGCAATGGCCCAGTAACCATTTAGAAAATGAAATACAAAAATAAACATATGGTGAATCACTTAGGCCAATAATATCTGCACAGAGGGCGCGGCACTCGTGGGTCGGGAAGCTGAGGACAGTTGGACTGTAAACTTAAACAACAAGGCATTAAGAGTGCGGTGTTCCCGAGCATGAGTCACCCAGCCGACGCCGGTGTCGGCTACAGCAGCCCTACACCGACGGCGCTAATTGCTTGTTAACGGCCGGCTCATGTGGTACTTGATACCAGAGCCATGCGGGAGTTAACAGAGCCATGTGTTAATTAACAACCGGCCCGTGTGTAGTTAAAAAAGCAGCAACAACTTCATTTACTCGCCTTTCATTAGTCACACGTCAGTGGACCGTGACGTCACTGATGGTGATCGCGAGTGAATCACCACCTTATGGCCGTTTTTTGTGACGTAACCATCACTTTCCACCAAGACGGCGGTATCTGCTTGCTTCAGTTCTTCCTGTGACTCGGCACCGGAGAGCGAGGACTGATCTTTGTGTTGACGGTGTTTGCGCCATGCTTGCTGGATTAGCCGCGCGCAGTACTCCTCTCTCTGGCGCCAGAGCGTGGACGACACTGGCTCGTACCCCGGGCGATCCGGAGCAGGAGCCACTTCTCCGATGTCTGCTGAGTCCTCCACTGGGTTGCCTTTGCGTGCAAAGAAGTCCTTGGTAAGCGCGTCCAAGACGTCCACGCAGAACACAAGGTCTCCTTTGCATATCGGTATGTCCATTGACACAATTTTGTACTTATTTGGCTTGTGAATCTGAAGAGGCGCCTCTAGGATATCTAGAAAGTCCGACAGCATATGGAATTCAATAAACTGCGTGCCTTTAGGGTCGAACTGTTGCCAGATTTCATAATACATATCGTAGTCATCATCAGTTAGACCCTCTTCGACGTCTTCCGTCGCCTGGGAGTAGTTTTCGAGGATGACAGCGATGTACATGTTAATGACGATGAGGAAGCTGATGACTAGATAACCCAACAAGTAAGCGATGCCGATAGCCTGATTGCCGCAGTTGCCGGGGTCACCAATCTCGGGATTGGGTGTTTTGCACTCTTTTTCGTTAACAATGCCGGATAGCACACCATCCCATCCCGCTGACGTCATCATTTGGAACAGCAAGATGAAGGACTGGAAGAAGGTCTCAAAGTTGTACACAGAGTCCAGACCTCCAGTGTGCTTGACGTTCATGAAGAAAGACATGCCGAAGATAGCAAAGATGAACATAACGAGGAAAAGCAAGAGGCAGATATTGAAGAGAGCAGGGAGGGACATGGCCAGAGCGAAGAGTAGTGTTCTGATGCCTTTGGCGCCTTTGACTAGACGCAAGACTCGTCCCACCTTGGCTACTCGCACCACACGAAGCAGCGTCGGCGAGACGAAATACTTCTCGATGATGTCCTTCAGCACCAGACCTGCGAGAGAACTCAAGTTACTTGTTGCTCTTAGAATGCTAAACTGCCTTTCCCAATCATGTTTGGCCTGCAAGTAATGTACCAACATCCCACTGGATGATAAGAATTACTGGCTGCTTCTCAATTTATTTTCTTATACCCATGGGCGAGTTGGATCTTTTTTAAATGGCTATAATGTTTTTTATTTTAATGTCTAATGAATCTTTCTAAATTATTTCACATTTGAAAGTAATCATATAAGCAGTGAAAACTGTTGTAAACATGATAACATAGGTATCGGCTAGACACTAAACATGCTCTCTAGAGATGAAGTGATTAGCACTGGCAAGTTGAGATTTAGAATTTAAGCCACAGTACAAGGGTAATAAAAATATACTTGAGGAGAACATCATTCACTACTACACCCGCTCTCTGCTGCCTCTCCCACTACCTTATACCCCATCATTATTTATCATAGCTGGTATCACATTACGCTTTGGCAACATTGGTCAAGTGTAGCGAGAATCTAGATTTGTTATGCAGAGTGCTTCCCACAGCTGAGGCAAAAATAATATAACTTCATATAGTGGTGACCAATTTGTTATATAATTAGATAATCGTGAACCAAGCCTTCCTTAATTTTCATAAAACATAGGGAAACACCATTATTTGACGGTGGGATGCAATCTAGGTTTCAGACACCTACTAGAACAGCTTGGGCTGTTCTAATAGGTGCCTCCTCAGATAGGTGCTGAGGGGTATCTCTGGACACTGGCTAAGGGGTATATATGGACACTGACTGAGGGTATCCAAGCACTGTACGAGGGGCATCTCTGGGCACTGTACGAGGGGCATCTCTGGGCACTGGCTGAGGGGTATCTCTGGGCACTGACTGTCACTCAGTCATTGACTGAGTATCTTATATCTGGGCACTGGATGAGGTATATCTCTGGGCACTGATTGAGGGGCCATCTCTGGACACTGATTGAATGACATCTCTGGGCACTGATTGAATGACATCTCTGGGCACTGATTGAATGACATCTCTGGGCACTGGCTGAGGGATATCTCTGGGCCCTTGCTTAGAGGTATTTCTGAGCACTGACTGAAGGGCATCTCTGGGCACTGATTGAATGACATCTCTGGGCACTGGCTGAGGGATATCTCTGGGCCCTTGCTTAGAGGTATTTCTGAGCACTGACTGAAGGGCATCTCTGGGCACTGATTGAATGACATCTCTGGGCACTGGCTGAGGGATATCTCTGGGCCCTTGCTTAGAGGTATTTCTGAGCACTGACTGAAGGGCATCTCTGGGCTCTGACTGAAGGGCATCTCTGGGCACTGGCTGAGGTGTATTTCTGAGCACTGATTGAGGGGCATTTCTGGGCACTGTCTGAGAGGTATCTCTGGGCACTGGTTGAAGGACCTCTCTGGGCACGGGTTGAGGAGATTCTTTGGGCACTGGTTGAGGGGTTGAAGGGCATCTCTGGACAATGGTGAGAGGTATCTCTGAGCACTGGCTGAGGGGTACCTGGATAAGGCTTCTAGTTCTTCTACTCCCCAAGCCCGGCCCGGGGCCAGGCTTGATTTGTGAGAGCTTGGTCCAACAGGCTATTGCTTGGAGCGTGGAGCGACCCACAGGCCCACATATCCACCACAGCAGGTTGGTCTGGCATTTCCTGCAGAAAACTATCCGGTTTTCTCTTGAAGACGCCCACGTTTGTTCCGGCAATATTTCTTATGCTCGCTGGTAGTATGTTGAACAACCGTGGGCCTCTGATGTTTATACAGTGTTCTCTGATTGTGCCTATGGCACCCCTGCTCTTCCCTCGTTCTATTCTGCATTTTCCTCTATATCGTTCACTCCAGTATGTTGTTATTTTACTTTGTAGATTTGGGACCTGGCCCTCCAGTGTTTTCAGTATGTATCTTATTTTATATCTCTCTCGTCTTCTTTCTAGAGAGTACATTTAGGTAGCTTTGAGACGATCCCAATAATTTAGGTGCTTTATCGTATCTATGTATGCCGTACATGTTCTCTGTATTCCCTCTATTTCACCAATCTCTCCTGGTCTTCTTGTAATCCATCTAATAATTTTTCTGGCTGACGCAATATTTGCTTGGTTATAATCCCTAAGCGTTAGGTTGTCAGACATCATTATTCGCAGATCCTTTACATGTTGGTTTCCTACTATGGTCAATTTGATTGTGTTTTGAACCCTGCTTTATGTTTAATGTCCTCGTTTTTACAGTACTTGAGTACCTGGAATTTATCACTGTTAAACATGTTATTTTCTGCTGCCCAGACGAAAACTCTAATAATATCTGCTTGTAGTTTATCAATGCCTTCAACAAAAGTAATTTTCATGCTGATTTTTGTCTTCTGAAAAAGATACATACAAAGCTGTGACTTGTATTTTTGTGTATATCTGATATGAGAATAAGGAAAAGCAGTGTTGCATGAATTGTACCTTGAGGTAGAAAGCTTTTAACTGCGCTTGAACTCGATTTTATTTCGTTGACTGTTACTCTGTGTTCTGTTCGATAGAAAATGATATCCACCGTCATATTTTACATTATTCCCATTGACCTCATTTTGTGTGCTATTACTCCATGGTCACATTTAGCACATGCCTTTGCGAAGTCCGTGTATTTGCAATCTGTTTTTCTTCTAATGCTTCAGTGATTTTGTAGTAGTGGTCAAGCAGTTGCAAGAGAAACTATCTTCCCGCTCTAAATCAATGTTGGCCTGGGTTGCGGAGGTCATTGGTTTTCATGAAACTGGTGTCCTGACTCCTGATCACTCTCTCAAATACTTTTATTATGTGGGACGTTAGTGCAACTAGTTTGTAATTCTTAGCCAATGCTTTGCTCCCTCCCTTGTGTTGAGGAGCTATGTCTGCTGATTTAAGCGCATTCGGTATCTCCTTCCATGTTCAAGCTCTTCCTCCACACTATATTGAGTGCCTGTGCTACTGGAACTTTACATTACTTTATAAATATTGAATTCCGTGAGTCTAGACCCGGACCTGAGTGCATGAGCATGGGTGCATTTGGGTACTGGTTGAGGGGCATCTCTGGACACTGACTGAGGGACATCTCTGGACACTGACTGAGGGACATCACTGGGCACTGAGGGACATCACTGGGCACTGAGGGACATCACTGGGCACTGAGGGGCATCACTGGGCACTGAGGGGCATCACTGGGCACTGAGGGGCATCACTGGGCACTGAGGGGCATCACTGGGCACTTGTTAAAGGGCATCTCTGGGAACTTTTTTTTTTATTATTTTTTTTTTACATGCAAGATAAAGACAATAAATACAATAAAATATCAGAGAAAACAAAAACAAAATACAGAAGCTACCGGCCAGAAGGACCGACAGCACAGGACAATAATTAGCAAAAATGGAGGAACGCATGAGAAACACAGCATACATCAAGACAAAGTAAAGAACAAAAACAATAACAAACAAGCAAATAATGTAAGCAAATAAACAAAACTTAGGAACAATATAAAACAAAACAAACAAACACCGGCCAGAAGGACCGACAACAAAACACATCAAAATTTAGAAAATGAAACATAACACAAGACAATGCACACACAAACAAATCATAAATATAAACAAAGGGAAAATTAAAAAAAAAAACACAATACAACATGGTAATTACAAGGTAATACATGAAGAGAATACACACTCTGCAAAACACCGGCCAATCTGCGGAAATACTTGCCCGGGAACAAGACCCGGGGGAAACGCACATTGAACGCCTCCCAACGTAACCACCCCCAAGGGTCTCGTACACCCACCGGGGACGCCATGTCATCCGAAACCCTAGCTACAAACACTCGCAAGCAGGGGACCCAAATGGTATCACTCCTGATGCGAGTAACTGCCACAATCCCCCACATCAAGGGAACACCCCCACCATGAAATTCCCCCGGCTCGTCATTCAGCAGTAACTCAGCAATCGCCGACCAGTGACTCGGCGGCATCACCGACGCCGGCAACACGTCCCCCAGGTCCCCAACACACACCCTCACAAGAGGGGGCCGGACATAGGACACCACCACCGGGGCACCAGCGGCCACGGGCGCACCACCAGACGACTGCAGGGAACCAGGGGGGTGCACATCCTTCCGTAATGTCACAACCAGGCCACGCCCAGCACCAGCAACCACACCATCCCTGGGAGCGGGAGCCACCACCTCCCACTGCGGAGAGTCCCAAGGCGGAGAAGGAACGGAAGGCACCCCCGAGACCTGGGCACCAGCATCAGCAGGCACATGAACCTCTGCCACCACCAACCGTGGAGACAGCGACACATCCGGTTCCACACCGTCATTACCCAAGGACCCACAGTCACCGAATTCCCCAACATCGGCCCAGGCAGACGACGAACGCCTGGAACGCTTGGGCTCCGGCCGAAGATCGTCATAGCCGGAAGCGAACCCAAAAACACGGGTCCCATCAGCTGGACGAACCGACGCCCGACGCAGAACGGCAGCAGCCTCCACCACAGGGGGAACTGGCCCACACACAGCAGGAGGCTCCGCAGCCACCCCAGCACCCAGCACATCCGGGACCCGAGGCGAGAACACAGGGCCAGGCGCAGCAGCCGAAGACGTGGGAGAAGACGGCGGCGTGTCACAATGATCACTAGGAAGGCCGTCAGGAGCAGCGGAGACCATCCGATGGCACTGCAAGACCCGGAGGAGAGTCTGTAACAACCGGAGGAACGTCCGGCGACGTAGGGGGAGCCGCATCCGCTAACTGAACGCTCACCTCTTTATCCCCGGAGACCTCCTCCAGAGGGAGCGGTGGGAAATCTTCTTCCCGGAACAAGTTGACTGGAGCAACCGGATCCGCAGTGCATCCGGCAGCCTGATGCCCCAACATGCCACACCGGAAACAAGTACGGGGTTGCCGGGCATAATACACCCGCACGTAGTACCCTAAAAGTCGGACAGAGGATGGAATGTCCGACCTCAGGCGCATCCCGAGGGTACGAATG